AATAAATGCTGTACCTACCTTGACCCTGTTATCAGCATAACTTGTCTATATTGTTAGAAAACCCTATATGTTACATGGCATATGTAAGGAAGGGAGGGGGAGAAGAGGCTGATTTATATGCTTTTGAACAAATCATACCACGTCTTTTCTTGGAGGCCCCTTGACCTCTGCAAACCCATATGTTATCTGTCCCCTGTCTTCCAAGCATGTGGTCACTGGCTCTGGGCAGGGTCTACACTTGGGGCTGGTATTGATTAATGAAGAGTTGACTGTGATTCCATGTGTGACCTGGCGGAGACCGAGTCCTCGGGTCTCTGGAAGTGTGGAGATGCAGCGGGGGTGCTGGTGGGTATGGAGAGAAGTGGACCTCAGTGGCAAGAATTTTTCTGTCTCTGTCATTGGAGCTGTTAATTCTTATTTGACACATGGTGTTCTCTGGAGGGTGTGGATTCATAGAGACGTGATTATTGCTGAATGCTGCTGATTCTTTGGCTTTTGCTGAATTGTTTTAGGAAATAAGAATTGAATTTGGGGCCCAGGTAGCGGGGAGAGTCTGTTCTCCACACTGCCTCTTGCTTCCAGAACCCAGCACTACTGAGTCACCCCAGGACGCAATAACAGAGGGGACATCAGGGATAACCTCTCTGGCCTGGACCCTGGTGACCTAGTAATAATGCACACTTGGCAGTGACAATAAAGGAGAAGTAAACATGGTGGACACTAGCCAATGCAGGATCCCTCCTGGAGATAGTCTCTGTCAGACCATTTTGTGAACATTTGAAAGACAGCAATTGGGGAAACAAGGAGAAAACTTAAGGTATTTTGGAGGGATGGAAGTGGCCCTCAGAGATCATGCCATTCGGAGTTAGGATCATGATCATTTGGGACTCAAACACAAATATGACCCCATTGTATCATTGCTGGCTGATGGGGCTTGATAATTTGATATATGATTTTATTTATGTTTATTATCCTTTAGTAGCTATGATATTTTCAGAACTTGGCAAGCAATAACGCCAGCCCTTACAAAAGCCTTGTGAGACAGATACTGTCCCAGTTTTACATATAAGACTGTTAAAACATACAGAGTATTTCAATGATTCACATGAGGTCAGTCAACTGGCTAAATGGTAGGTCTGTCTTCAAAGGCTGGGCTGCATTTCCTCACTAGCTCTACGCCAGATTTTATTTCCAAGCTTGATTCCAAAGAACGGGGGGAGCCTGCGACACCTTGAGTCCCACTGAGAAGTTCACCTGAAGGGTGGCTCTTGACCCAGGCTGGCCAGTCTCGATATGTCATGCTTTAGAAATAAGGGAGGCACACGTGCATGAAGTGGGGCAGGAGTTTCCAAAGGGCGGTGATGTTCTGGGTGGACAAAGCCACACCTGTCCCCTATATCTTCCTGCCCGAGGAGTGGTGACGTGTAAGTTGGGGGATGGGGTTCATAGGGGTGAGGAAGATCGCATCATGCCCAAGCAGAAGCTTCTGGGAGTCTGCCTCGCAAATGACTCATTGCAATTATCTCCAGTGTGAGGCCCTGAGATGGAGGTCATCCTCTCCTTGACAGGAACAGATAGCAAACTTGTTTCTCCCCAGACCTGACACCTGGGACCAATCTCGGCTCACCACCCCTTCCTTGCCCTGACCTGGAAGACAGTCCTCACTGATGGGTAATGGGGTCGCCAATTCCAAGGGCACCCATTCTAACTTGCCTTGTCAGGTCAACCCCAATCTACTTCTTTGTAAAAGCTGCTCAAACAATTATATAGCAAGCGTTGGCCACTCCATTCAAAGAATGAGGCANAGCTGCTCAGAAAATTAATTTCTTCAAACAATTATATAGCAAGCGTTGGCCACTCCATTCAAAGAATGAGGCAATAACAGAAAAGAAGTTAGAGGATGGCATCTACGTAAATTTTACTCCCCCTGCTGCGGGCAGTAAGAGATAGAGATTAGGCTGGGGTGACATGTGATGTGTATCGCCAACATAGAAGTGGCGAAATTCATTTAGCTGGAAATAAACGGTTACCATTTATAATTAAACTTTCAAAGGCTTGTCCGCTGATTGAAAGACATTATCCCCTGCTCTTGTTTCCAGCTATATTTAGAGCTGATTGGCTAATTTAGGGGCAATACGCCTTTGATATTTGAGTCCCTCGTTCGCTATAACTTGAAACAGACGTGCTGGGAAGAGGAAGTTGGGCTGGTGATGTGCTAATTCGTGTTTGTGATTTACCCCTGAGGAACTATAAGAAACCTGCAACTTATTGTACATTAAGAGCTGAAACTGGAGACAGCCACATCTGGTTTGTTGGATGGCCACCCTCCCCTTTTAAAAAATAATGTGACAACCAATGGTGTTTAGGCTAGATAGTTTGATTATAATGGTATCTATCAGGGATAAAAGGTTGGAGGCCAAAGTGATGCAGAGAGAGAAGCTGATGAGATTTGCAAAAGGGGTTATAAGCATCAGTAAGTAAATGGAAATTAAATATATATATGTATATATTAAATATATAAATATATGTATTATAAATATATGTATGTATTAAATATATATATGTATTAAATATATAAATATGTATATATATATATTATGGAATTGCTCAGAAAAATTATGTACTGAGATAAACCTTTTAAAATGCATTCATGATTTGCAGTTGAAGGGCCAAGGGACTCTGAGCTGAGTCTGACATGCCTTTGGTACAGTTTTGGCCTGTCACGGGGCCCCAAGGTCCTGAGGGAGAAGCAGGCCTGGTGGGTAAGAAGCAATCAGCATCAGCTTTATAAGGGCTGCGTTAGGATATTCATGGGCCCCTTTCTCCATTAAAAAATATTAACAACTATATTTTTGACTATGTTTGTATAAAGAGAAATATATTACTATTATATACGAAAACATTTTCATAAACTCAGTAATCAAAATCATAATGCTTTAATGCAATATTTTTAAAGAATCAAGATTAAGGCAAAAACATCCATGATGAACAAAATACCAGCATTTTAAATAAAGGCAGGATCAGCTGTATGCTGAAGCTTTTGGAAGCCCCCAGCTGCATACTTGGGATTCTTGGGAACAGAGGTGGGACACAAGAGAGAGGCTGGTGGTGCAGAGGGAAAAGTCTGCATTAGGAGCCTTGAGCTCAGGGTCCTGGTCCCACTTCTTTCTTTGCCACTCAGAGGTGCTGGGTGTGGTCCAAACTTTTCCTTACCTTATTAGCAGGGGGTATTTCTGAGTGGTGATGGAGGAAAATATTCTTACCACTGGCAGAGCATAAAACTGGGTTGTAGGTGGTCTGCGGATTAATATTTTTACCTTTTATTTTATTTTATTGTTTTTCATTTATTTTAATGTGTGTTTAGTTTCATGGATATTAGAAAATCTGAAACTAGCACATTAAAACTGTGGTTTCACAGATATTGTTGAGGGGGAAAAGTAAAAAGAGGGAACAAAGGGTGGATTAAAATAATTTACAAATCAGTATCTATTAACAAATCACTGTCAGGAACTCAGTATTGTTCTAATGATGCCTGGGTAGGACCCCCTGAGATGGGGCAATAATTCAGGCAGGCTCGGGAAGTCACGCCACCGGCTTCCTGTCCCAGCTCCCTTCTCTCAAACTGCATGCGTGAGACTCAGTGTCCTCCTGTATAGGGAAAAATAAAAAAAGGTCCCAAATGATTGATTGCCCCTTCTCCATGGAGCTGTAAAGATGAAATGAGATAACTCTTCAAGGCTTGTGGCCCAGACCTGGCACAACCCATGTGAGCTCTATTGTTATTATTGCGCCAGCCAATGTATGGATTATTTAATTTTGCTGCAGGGAATATGCCTTGCCCTTAGAGGGAGAAATAGCAATAAAGCTATTTTCAACCCTTTTGTCTACCACTAAAAATTGAAATGCATAAATAAGCTAAAGCTGGGGGATAGATCAGAAAGAACATGGGCTTTGGAACCAGAAGTGGTTTGGCCTTGGTTCTGTCATTTGTCAGTGAGTGACCTTAGACAAGACAGCCAACCTGGTTCCTGTGACTCATTTGAAAATTCAGGAGCACTTGTGCCTAAAGGAGAGCTGTGAATATTGCTGACGGAAAACAAGTTCACATCATCTGGTTGGGCTCAGCAAACACAATTTCCCTCCCCCCTCTGCCCTTCTCCAC